GCATCTCTCATCAGGTCCTCTTTCACTGCCCTTCAAACATCTTTGAATCTCACTTTAAATGTTAATCTTGTGTCAGCACTTATAGAGACAAAGTCAAATGTTCTCCTCTCCTGCCAGACCTTAGCAAACCATACCCTAAACCTACTGCTGGCACCCTGAATAGCAATAAAAAGGATTTGTTGCTTGTTTTGGGGTAGAAGAACAGAGGGAGAAACATCATCATTACTTCAGTGAATTCTTCAGCTGCTGGTTCTGCTTAGTCAGAAATAAAACTGAAAATATGCACAGCATCACTTGCCAGTGTGGTGGCAACCTTCTGGCCACCAGCATGTCCCCAGCTGTGTCCTGCTTGTGCTCCCAATAAATACTGGGAGAACTGAAGTACCCAAACAGAGACTCAGAGCCTTGCACACCTAGTTCCCAGCTCCTAATAACGGCAAGGGTGCATTCAGGAAAGGGGCTTCAGCCTATACATTCTCAAGGGTACAAGCACCCTGTTTTTACACACAGCTGCCAAAATCTGGCACTGAAGACCAAGTGGTCAGCAATGCTTTCAGCCTCAGGAAACCAGTGATTTTGGAAAGCATCTGCACCACAGACGGCTCTTTGCCTACACAAAGACTGAATTTAATGGAACAACCTAACACCAGAGTTAAAGATGGACATTTATCATTGAATTATCATCCTGACTTGGTAGAGCACTGTAAGAAATGCTTACTTTTAAGACCACACTTAAACTGTGCTGAATGTGAACTGGACGTTTCTGACATTAAACTCATGCTTAAAGGACTTGCTAAATTGGGATGCAAAGAAATGAGGTACCAAGCAAATACTCTTGCAGCTCGGGCTCAGAAAAACAGAAAATTAAAATTATAAAACTAAAGTTAGTGAAAAAGCTTCCTCATTTGAGAGGCACCACGGAGATTACAGCACAAACTTCACCAATTACATAAAATCAGAACAACAGCAAGTGATAATCATGGATTGCAAAACTTTTGTAAAACCGTTCTGCTACTTGTGAGTTATTCCTCATGTGTGTTAATTAAATCAGTTTAATTTTGGAAATACGGACTTGTAATGACTTAGTTTCACATACTGAGCCACCTGGTTGTTACAAGGAGATTTGAAGGAAGAGCAATCCCAGAGCTGTGCAGAGTGCTTTATAGCAAATAAAGCAGAGAAACCAGCAAAAGAATAACTAATATTACAGTAAAAAACTCAGAGACTGTTACAACTCTGAAACTTCTCCTTTGCAGGGATTAGAAAAATGCAAAAGGTTTTTTTATGGGCTTTACTTCTCTCTTACTCCTCTTTTTCAGGGGACATAAATTGCTCTCAGCTGTGAAGGAACTACAAACATTTGGCTTCACAGAAAAAAAATCCAATACTTTGGGGTTTACTAGACAGAACTCGATTTTGCAGAAATGAAATACAAAATAAAATCAGTGTTTGTATGTTTTACAAAGCGGCACTTCAAACTTCTCTGAAGTTCTGCACGCTCGCTATTTCTTGGAGCCATTTTCCTTGCCTGACTTACAGAGCACGGAAGAACATGGAGCTGGCAGGCAGATTATATTACTACACCAAACTGCATTTGAAAACATCAACTACTGCGAACTGCAGCTGTCCTATAGCAGAGGCCAAGTTCCTCACACCGGGTGTACTACCCCCCTGTTTAACAGAACTGCTGCCTCTTCAGAGCCAGCCCTTCTCTAACGAGCCCAGCTCTGCCAACACCCTGCAGCCAGCACTGCCCAGTTTAAACATGGGCAAGTAACAGGCTTCAAGGAAGGACCCTCTGCTTTGGAATTTGCTCCTATTGCACTCAGAAATTGTTGAAACTTAGAGAGGGCTATGCAGCCTAGTTTCCAAAGCTTTTTCAGGCGAGTAAAGATAAACTATTTAAATTGTATTTAAAATTTGTATTAAAAAAAAAAAAAAAAAAAAAACACCAAAAAAACAAGCTGTTAACAAAGCTGCTAGCAAGCTAAGAAGAATGTTCCTAGAGAAAATCCTTATATATACACATATATATTAATTACAGTTTTACCCTAAAAAACTCCTACCCTTATGTACTGGCCTATTCCATTTGCACCGCAGTACAACGTTTACTATGCAGTTTTAATCAGCTAATCAGATAAAACAAGCACCCTCAGGAATGATACACAACCGATGAATAAACACTGCTGTCTGCATGCTACGTGTGCTCTATCACAGCTCCTCAGTTTGGTCACAAAAGGAGCAGCACACGCACCTTTCCTGCCAGAGGATGCAAGAGCCAGTGCACAAGCTCGAGACTACGAAAAGGAATAATTCAAGGGCTACAAAATTTAAATTGGAAGTGCCTTTTTTTTTTTTTTTTTTACATGAAGAACTGCAACAGCTAAAAAGGGAAAGCTCATCTGATAAGCAGAAATTCAAAATGTCACCAGTGTAATTAGTTTTTGAGAAAATATTTACACTGCAGCTGAATCAAGCTGCTTTGCAGCTGAACCCTGGCAAAACTGCAACAACGGAGAAGGTTTTGTGTCTGCTTTTTAATGACTGTATCCCAATTACAGGAAAATTTCACCCCTTCCCAGTGCTGGCTGGGCAAATCATTGTAAAATTCAGGGTCCTGCAAATTAGCAAGCAAGTGAACAATAAAATCCCCCCAAGGATAATGCATCACAAAACACACTGTATTCATTTATTTGGCAAAGTGCAGTTTAATTACTTGTAAAAATAATGACTCCTTTGTACAGGCTCTCGCTAACATGCGTTGCTGCTCTGTATTTTGCTGAGTGGTACAAGTTGTGTGCCAAATTTGTGTGCATGGATTATACAGCGTACACATAAACGGAGTGCAGAAAAGAGATTGTACAGGATCTATTGTGTTTTGACAGCGCACAAATGACATATACTGTCTTCATGGAATTTGTCTGCTTTTCTGTATTTTGAAACTCAGTATTTCTCATCTTAACAGGGATTTTCAAGCCTCAATCACATCTCATTGCAGAAAATGCCAAGTACAATATGAATCTCTGCTGGGGAACCAGGATGTGCCTGATTTGCAGCCACCACCCTCCCGTGGGGAAGGGCTGTGGCGGTGCCCATGTCCCACAGTGCTCCCACAGCTCTGCCCAGACCCGCGCTCGTAGCACCATGCTCTACCACTGTCCCACCCATTGAGAAAGGGGTCCACGACTTTCAGTGTCCACAGATTTCTGTTTGCAGGGCTGCATGGAGACAGCAGGGTTTTCAGAGTCACGAGACGTGTGGCATGGCTGTCAGATGTTTTTATTTCCACACTGCAGCTCAAGAGGAAAACTAACCATAATGAACGGTTTGAGGATATACAACAAAGAACAGGAGTTGCAATCTTGATAGTAGCGTTACTGAAGTTGATAGTGTCTTATTTTCAAAGATCAACTGTGAAGGTCATCAGAGAAAACCTTTGGATCACACCAGCAACATCCATTAAAGGGAATGGCACGGGGCAATGCCCTGTAATCCAAGTACTCTTCATTTTTATTTCCACTGAGAAAGAACTGCCATTCCAGTATTGGAACTGGTTGTGAAATATTCTGCCAAATACATGAATAGCTGTTGTAATAGTTTTGTTTACTTCCCATTTCTTTTTAAATTACCAGCTCTACTCGTGTTCAGATCGTTGTATTTTCTGTGAGAACTATAACCAAGTTTTGGACAACTTCAGCTTCTTCACAGTATATAGTCTGTTAACATGGTTAGTTTCACCTTGGAGAACTTTGCTGCAGTTATAGAACGAATTTGCACATTCCAATTTTACAAGATAGCCTGCAAGAGACTTAGCTGTGTGTTTTCACAGTATGACTGTTGAACCCAACAGAGAAAAAAGTTAACACTGTTATCATCTTTGTATTAATCCTAGCCAAGGGTGGCAGAAGAAAAGGCGAGAGTATAGCTCCTGTAGAACCCTGCACCTTCTCCTTTGCCCCCACTTTGCATGTAGTTGGCTGGATTGTTAAAGATGAAACTTAAATGCAATTGCTCCAGCAACACAGATCATATTTTTTGCCCTATAACACTCCACCTATAGAAAGCAGAATAATTTACAATTCGTAACAAAAAATTATTGCATGATAATGTGTATGATGTAGCAGATTCCTAAACGTGACATTGGGTCACTCAACACAAACCCTAAGTATCTGAAAATTATGTTCAGAAAAACAAAGTGAATAACAAAGCTTAAGAGAACCAGGTATCAGAATAATACACATGCAGACCAAAACTTTTCTCCTTTACAAACAGTCCCCTCGGGACATATTTAAGCTCCTTGTCTTTATTAGCCTCAGCTTTAAAGCTAGATCTCCAAACATTTGCTATGCAAAAATAACTTGTCATCTTCTGAGGGACTCCTCGTAAAACACTGCAGTAAATGCTCACACCACTAGTTACTTGATACAAGTTTGTAAGATCTGGCTACTTCTCATGACCACTCAGAAGAGAACAGTTTCTGTCTTTAAATACTTGCATTAATTCTGTACCTAAATTTTCTACCTATACTGGTAAGATACCTATTCTCTACAAGATGCTGCCCTATTTCAATATAATTATCATTATTTCATTTAACCAAAACCCATTAAATCTACAAAGTAAGAACACAACAGTCAATCAGCACCACAAAGCCCATTAGCTCCTCGCTTTCGGACAGCTATGCTTGTTCAAAGAAAAGGTTTTTCACTTGTGTTTGAATAAGGTTTGTCTCAATTAGTTAATATTAGCGACACACTTCGGGCTTTAAGAGACAGGTGGAAGCAGAACACTATGCAACAGAAAATGAGAACATAATATTATTGCATTTCCCCTAAACCCTAAGGACTTGCCCCCATTGTTGCTAGCAAGAAACATAAAAGCTGTATTATACAAAAATTGCCTTTATGGGTAGAGTATGGCTCTTAGAAACTGTTCAGTGACAATGTACAGCAAGCATGACACAGAATGGAAAGCTAGCTGAGGAACCATCAAATCATCCTTACTCTGTCAAAAGCTGGTGCAGCTTCTGGTAGCCCCTCTCCAAGGCCAAGCTCACGGGTGTTGCCCCTTCGTTGTTGTGGATGCTGAGAGCTCCTCTTCCTCCCGGCTGCTGGAGCAGAAACCACGTCAGCCGCAGCAGACCCAGCCTCACCGCAAAATGCATCAGTGTTTCCCGAGGGATGTTCTCTGGGAAGAAAGAAGAAAAAGAAAAAAAGAAATCGGAATTTGTAGGCTGGAGGTTAGGTGAATGCTGTATCTCCACTTCCAGCCACAGCAATCACCAAGTTGCAGTGCATCCAAACAGAACCTGACATGGTCAGATGGGTTTTTCTAAATGACCAAGCCTTCTTTCTCACACACCCAGGACCAGGTTTTTGGAATGGACAAGTTTTGTTATTTAATGGGATGCTGATTTGTCCCAAGGCATGAAAAAAATCAATTAAATTTGAAGCACAAATCTAAAGGAGTTACAAAAGAGAAATGTTTAACCTCTCATGTAGACCAAAAAAAAAAAAAAAAAAAAGTGAATTTGCTTTCCTGGTTTGCTTATGCCTCAAGACCAGCTTTTCTCAGCTTTATACAGTAGCTCTATCATTCTGAGTAGCACCATTTATAAACTAGCAATCTCTGCTGTTGCTTTTTACATTTAATAACCATGACCTCCTAATCTGGTAAAAGTCAGTCTTGAGCCTAAGCTTTCATCTCAGAGAAATATCCCCCTACTCTAAAAGCTGCTGCCCTAGAACGATGCTCTGAAAAGCTTCAACCAGAAATGAGCTCCAGATGCACTGCTGAAATACAGTATTTGCAGATCAAAGCCTGTTACTTCTGTATGACGGGCAAAAGCATTTGGGTTAAAAAAACTGCAAGAAATAAAAATTTGTTCTTTTAATTAACAAAGGATTTCAGTATTGACTGGCAGCAATAATAACAACAAAAAAGCACCAACTGGGTCTCAGTAAACCATGCCAATGAGCACACTTGGTATAATACCTTAAATATCATAGCAATGATTTGTTGGGTTATTAATTTGGTTGCCAGCCAAACCTATACAGCAGGTTTATAAATGCAAGTGCATAATGGCTTTAGGATTTAATTAAGTATTTTTTCCTCAAGAAGTATGCCCCAAGAGAAATCATTTCTTCAAAGGGCTGTTGTTTTACTTGCTTTCTTAAGTGACATCGTTAAGACCTTCAGTGAAAAACAAAGCAAAAATGGGGAGTTCTCCCCTGACTGGCACCCAATTTTTCCCGACATTTGGATCAATTCCTGAAGATCTCATCTGTATTCAAGAACCAAAAGCTTTCTGGCACCATCTCTCTTCCAAATGATTCCAAATTAGGTCTCTGGGCTATAAATCAATCTTTACCCCCTAACCTCTTCTTGATTACCGTAAAGCAAAACCATGCTGTCCTGAATACATGAGCATGTCTGAATGGAGGTTCCAGCTGATCAGAGAAAAGGGGAATAGCTGAGCTCACTCAGAGACTAATTCTCAGACTGTGGGAGAGTAATGACAAGGATTTTGGTATTAAGTGCTATGGAGTGTAATGCTTTAGGAATAAACAATGCAACAAGGTAGTTAATCCATGGCTGTCACAGTCTTGGACTTAAAGAAGAATATAAAATAACACACCATATAGACAAGACATAAAGGAAAGGCTACTAATGAGGATGCAGAAAGGAGAAAGTGTTGATACATGTGGGACCTACCCAGCATAAAAGCAGATGCCCAAGGTTTCACTCAATGAACTTGTACTTACACAATACCGCTACATTACCTGTATTAACACACTGGCCGAGCCAGCTAGCGTAACAAAAGCGGCACTGTGACACAGGAGTTAGAAAAGCACTTTGGTTAGAGCAAACAACTGCTGTCCAAATAAAGAATGTGTTGCACTGCTCTCACCATGTCTGTTCTAGCACAGGATCTCCTGCTCTAGTTGCTTCGTTGAAAGGAAACATCATCTTCCTAACTGAAACAGGCACCAAAATTGAGCAGCACAGACCTGAAAAGCATAAGCCCAGGTCCCTGGACCAAAACGCTTCTTTCTCCTTCATCTACAGCCTCACAGTTAGGTGGAAGCATCTCCTACTCACCAACCTATGGCTCACCAATAAATACACATGCCAATTGTGAGTTCTGCAAGATACAGGCAAATACTCGTCCTGTCCCTGATCCAACTGGGTGCCCCTCTCTGTCTCATATTTCCACAGATGAGATGTCCCCTCCCAGTTGTCCCAAATGCCCATCTGATGTAATCCGCTCACATGACTGCAATTTCTCGCAATCCTAACTCTTTCCCATTTTTTTAATACAATCTTATCATCAAATCAGTGGATACGTTAGTTCCAGCATTTGGATAAAGTGTCTACAAACGCAACCAAACTGAATGTGGCCCTGTCCCAATGCCTTTGAGCAATGGCGACGTGCACAGAAGATCTGTACAAGAAGACATGGCATGTTGCCATCCGGAGCATATTAAACATACAAACTCACTATCCAGGCCTATTTGGAAAGATCTGCCTAAAATACAAACTGGCATGAGGCCATCCTAACAGATGGGCACAGATGATGGCAGCAAAGAGACAAAGTACTGTGCATACAACAACTGCAGGGGCCCCAGGCAATGGATTTAGAAGGGTTTGGAGTGTGCAAAACTTGCACGGCTACAGTTAAAAGGCGTGTGCCATCTGTGGGCTGGATTAACTAGTAATATATAATGAAAAATACATCTGTTGGTCTATGGTGTTGCTCAGAACAAGATGAGAGCTGGCCCGCATCAAGTCAGGGAGTGTTACTGGATGGAGAGGGGAGGAATATGAACAGATCCCTCCAGTCTTCCCACCTTTGAAGGGATGAAGCTTGTAGCACAAAATGTTGGCAATTCAGTCAATGATTTCAAGGTCTTGTCACGGTGCAAAATGCATGTCCCAGGCATGGAAGAATAACAAAAACTTTAACATGCAATAGCCAGAGCTGCTCCTCCTACCACATATCAAGCATTAGCTTGTCATCTTAAAATGGCTGTCCTTTGAATGCCAACAAAACGCTTCTTGTAATTAGGAAACTGTGGAAATATGAGACACACAATACTGGAAAGGCCAAGGTTGTTTTGTTCCTTTCTTGTTTCTTAGTAATAGGCAAGAGTTGAAACATGTGATTATTGTCCCATAATGGCAGGGCACTCTAATCCAGCTGGCAAAACATAAGACTTTAGATATATTGTTTTTATATATTTTTTTGCAGCTGTGACACATGGACAGTTTATCTGGGTAACTAAGGACAAAATTTCCATAGAAGACAGTCAAATGTACTTTGTTAATGGTAAAGGATTAAGGTTGAAGGTGCTATTAGCACAAAACAAATAAGCATTGAAAAGAAAAAAAAGTTTGAGTATGACATATCCGAGAACACACAAACTGTTCTCTAAGTAAAAACCTTCATTTTAATCCTGATTAAATAACAGAAAAAAAAAAAAAAATGTTCCTTTTTAAAAATCAGTCTTTATAAAAAGTAACGCACATCTAACGGCTCAGTTTATTCTCCTTGCCCTGAGACATCTCATCAAGGAACAGCAAGCCATGGACTGGCTAGCATCTCTTGCTAGTCCTCCTGTGACGGTGACCTTTAATTGGTTCTCACCCAAAATCACACACTCTGCAGTTTTGAAATCTACTACCAAATCTGGCCTCAAAATCTTGTTTTCTGCTGGAAATGTTCTCACCACTGAGATTAATCCTTGAGAAACACAGGGAGCAAAACTCAGAAACAAGCTATCACTTAGCACTGAGGTCCTAGATGAAGGTTCCAGCAGACAGCAGTGCTGAAGAAAGGTCAAGGCAAAGATGCAGTGTTTGGAGTTACAAGTACAGTCAATAAAAAGATGTGTGAGTAATTCTTTTTTAATCTTATAAACAAGAAATTTTTAAAAGCACACCAAAGGATCTTCATGTCCCTGTTCCCACTAATATCAAAGAAACCTTCTCATGCCGGTGATTTCTCAGCCACAAACTGAGCGGTACATCTGAGTACTGAGCAGCACATTTCAGACACTGCCTGAACAAGATTTATTTTCTGCTTCCCGTTTTCCACTACAGAAGGCATTGAATTTAGGTATGGAAATTATTTTTTACATCTTATCAAGGACTATAGCTGAACAGGCAACTTTGTGCTCTTGGCACAGAAAAGATCGCGTCGATTTATACCATACAGTCCTTTATCAGAGGACAGAGAAGGTGGTGAGCAGCAGACTGGAAAGGATATGAAAACCAACAAAAAGAATACCTGTAACTATTACATTGAAAGGGTTCAACGAGGAACTATAAAATGAGTGCAGCAGATGAACAGATTAAAGGTTTATATCTGAAAAACATTATCAGCTGCATATCTTTAATGTCCACCCATGGAAAAAAAATGTTAGCTCCTAATCAAATTTCCTTTATTTCTGAGAGCTTTTTGAAGTTTTTTTAGGCTTTTTGCTTTTTCCCTTAATATAAGGCACTTTTTTTGGTTACTTCAGAATTCTTCCTTTCTGAAAATAACAAAAAACACACACACAAAAAAAAACACCAACAAATTAATGATCTCAGATCACAGTGATGCTCCTATTGCACTGTACACTGAAATCCTACTGGTTTTGCACGTGAAGTTATTAAACTTGCAACACTAATCCATTCAGACTATTTCAAACTAGGGCAAAGCATTTCCCTCTCTATCCCTCTCCTACCTGGTCACCTCACAGGTTTTACCTTCTCAAGCAGTACTTACTGCACATGGATGTTTATTCTGCAGCATTTCTGGGAAGCTGCACATATTCAAGACAGCAGTAACTTCATTCTTAAAGCTAAGGAGCTGTTAAGTGTTTTATCTAGTGAGATGGTCTCCCAGTTATCTGCTTGGTAATGGTGACTGACTATCTTGCAGTTCATCAAGGGGGCTGCTTCTCCTTACGCTCCCAGAGGAATGGCTCCGTATGGTGGTTGGTCACCGCAAGCCTCGGCCAACCTGGAAACACCATCTCAGAAAGCTCACACCACTGAAACTGTAACCATAGGTCTGGGTTTCAGGACTTACTTTTAATGAGCAAAATGAAAAAAACTCTGTTTCCTCAAAGGATTTGTCACAATATTTTTTTAAAGGAATTTTTAAAGTGATCTGTTTACTACTGATAGTTAACTCAAGG